TCCAGAAGCTGTCCTTTAATAATTTATTAGCGAGCTCGCCAACGGAAGGGGAGCTCCTGATTGTGTCGTGTCGTCTGTCCCCTGCAGTGTCGGGACGACTCGCCGCGGGTGGTCCTTGACACGAGCCCGGGTACTTGGATGCTGTTGCTGTTATTAATACAGAGAACCGCGAATCGATTACTTACCAGCGCGGTTCACGAGCTCCGTAAACTTTTACCTTGTCACTATCGATCCGACAGCGAATTATACGAGCCGATAGAAGATAGCACTTTGTGCTCTTTACAAAAATATTTCGCTCGCGTTAATCGCTACTACAACACGAAACATTACGAGATAATCTGTTCGAGGCGCTCTATCTATCGCAGGCATCGCCCGACGACGGCGATGCGACCGCGTTAATTCGGAACGTCGAACGGTCGCGCGAGGAGGTTAACGATCGAAGAGCCTGGACGAGCGCGGCCAACTATCGCGAGCGATGATTGCATCACCGATTATTTACTTCGCGGCGGGCGCGCGTTAATAACTATTTCGCGGTATCTTTCGCACTTATCGCACATGCGCCCGCTCGTTTATGCGAAGCTATCAATTACGCGGATTCTTAGGGAAACGTCTTGCCATTAGTCGGCCGGTTATTCGGCCGTAAGTCATCCCGTAATTGGCCCGCGTCGGGACATTAGGTGCAGTCGCACGATTCGTCAAAATCCGCCGGGACTTTTCTCGATTGTCGGATCGCTTAGATGCGCGCTCGCATGCGCGCTCGTATGCGCGGGGGTGCGCCAGCGAGAAAGGTGAGCGTGTGCGGTTTCCGCGGTCGTAAATCCACTTTTGTCGTATACACGAAGCTTTCCGTCGTCGTTCGCGATCGGGCCCGCCGCGTGTGAATTAATCCAGTGACAGGCCGTTCGTGCGCTCGCGCTCACGCCCGCGCGAGCCCACGTATATACGTGAATGATACATGCGTATTTCGGGCCGCGTATATAATAACAGGTTGCCAGTACCGGGCCCTCTCTTACCCTCTCGCGGCCTCTCAAGCGGTGATGTATGCGCTAATTGTGAGGCCCCTCGCTTCGAGACCCGGTCTCCCTCTCTCTCTCCCCACCCTCCCCACCTTCCGCTCCGCGCACAACCGCCGATGTGTTTTTCTCTCTTTCTTCGTATACGTGCCTCATCGAGAATATGCCTCCTTCGCGTATTTGTTCGGTTTTTACTGCAGATCAGTGTTTTTATTTCATACATCGAGTTTTTTCGTTCAGTCGAACAATTTGCAAAATTGTTTGCTGAATGTAACATGCATCGAATTAAAACTATTACTACGTGATAATAATAAAGTGACACGCAATGAACAGCGCAAAGAGATGTTTCTTGCCGCTTTAACAGTGCAAAGAAATAAAGTAAATTATAAATAATTGAGAGAAATAATTGGCGCGGAATCTGATTCGATTCGTATCATTTTAACATTATCATCGCCTTAAAGGCAAATTCCAATGACGGATTAAATCGGGAAAATTCAATCGCATGCTCATAGAATCCTCTCAGCCTATAGAAATATGACAGTGGTTGGGGTATTGCGAAATCTGAAAAGGGTGCCGGAGCCGGCTTGTGTGATTAATTCGATTCCAACGGATTCGACGCGACGGCTGTTTCATCTTTATCTTGCGCGAAAGGTTTCGACATCTGCGACGTCGGTACACGCATGATACATCGATCGCTCGCGGCACGGCAATTAAGTAATTAAACAAATCTGTCGAAGGTGTTACGAATGAGTACGTACACATCTCGCGATCGCTCATACCGCACGAGGAGAGTAGAGTCATCGCCAAAGACGTATAATCGTATTACCCGAAAGTCCCGTTGGATACGTAATTTTAACCGATACTGATGATTAATAAGTAATATACGGGATGGATGAAATACTCTCTGGCGTGCGCACCGCAACATACTCTTTATACGAAACAGCACATCCGCGCCTGTTTCGCTAAATAAAACATGCGAAAATAATGAATCCTTATCCTGGTGAGTGATTATCAGTATCATTGATATTCAATTATTTAAATTAAAGCCACTGAAAACGGTAATGTCATCTCGCGAACAGAGGTTAAAGACGTCTTTCCTTTCCTCCTAAATTTCGAAGTAGATTAAACGCGGGGGAAAAATAAATCGTATGCGTACCACTGTTACGATGTTGTGACTCGGGCAGACAATCTCGTTGGTACGCAATCGGCCTTACTACGAACATTAACATCCAGCCCGATCCCGAGTTTAATCAAACGCTAACCAACGAAGATTTAATCTACCGCAGACTCCCCCGAGAGACCACCCTTCCTGCGCCTCTTTGTCTCTTTCTCTCTCTCTCTCTTTCCCCGTCCCATCTTCCATTCCGCATTCTGTATGTCTCATTCTCTCTTTCTCTCCCGTCTCGAGTAAGTAATATAATCACAACATCGGGGTGGCGTTATTTACAGGCACTCCATTTGCGGTAGCGAGCGTCGGCCAACGAGGTCGATCGTGGCAACGATATTGACTCCAACCGCGATTAGGGGATAGACTATATATGCGCGAGTTCTCGGGGTTACATGCTCCCTAATGCGCCTCGGGGTTAGAATCTCTCGCTTCTAATGCGATTCGGAAACGATATCGCCCGATACTGCCGCGAGACACGTTACTTTCATAAAAGAAGTAAATGAACAAACATAAAAACAGCGCGACGATCGATCTTGCGACGTTGGTCTGCGTCATGCAGGTGCATTCGGCTCGGTTTAATTAAAGAACCGCGGCCTCGGAAAAGAATTGTAACCGCGTCTTCGCAGAACTTTAATATACCCACCGGAAAGATGATACTATCGGCGTACGCGTTCATCTCGATTGAGTCGTTCATCGACGATTTCGATCTACCCAGTTCTGATAGCCTCACGGCGAAGAGGAGACAGTTCCTTTGTCGCTTCGGTGGAATCGATAAGGGACTACCAATCAAGTCCGCGCTCGGCAATTAAGCAATTAAAACGTCATGCGTTTTCCTGTCCGTCGGCGATGTCCGTCGACTTTGATGGAAGAGCTTCGCGATAACCGGTGCCTATCTCGACGCACGACTCAGTCGCCGCCAGAAAATTAAGAATGATTCGAATTTTCGCATTAGCCACTGACATATTGTAAAACTCGACTTGACCGCAATCTGTATCGCAACGTCGCTCTTGGCGGATAATAAATTTCGTATCCGTGATCGTTAATGCAGATTGAAATACTTTTAATTTTTTAATGCAATTTCATTGGTAATCAGTTCGATTGATCAGATTTGAATAAATAAATGGTTAGATGTGCAAAACAACGGTACGCCGGTAACCACAATTGAATGTTCACGATGTCACGGGTAAAATAAATTAATATCGGGATATCGCTTCGACCGCGCGAAGCGCGCGCGCACGAGGTTACGAGGCGATTCCGTCGGCTCAAATCGCAAAAGCCACGGTCTTAATTCCAGTAATCTTCGCGTCAGAGCGACTTCCGATGCGGCGGTGCGCGGCAAACGGCGATGCTGGATCCGATAGAAGTCGATCTAAGCGAGCGCGAGAGCGCACCGAATAATAACACACGGGACCGAGAAGAGGAGCGTGTCCCGCTGCTCGCAAGACAGACCAAGTAACGCGCGAGACGGGTCGCGGGGTGCAGAGAGGGCTCCGAGATGCCGGGACGGAGGAGGGATTCGATAATTACTACCGGGAGTCGTGGAGGCGGCCCACGGAATCCTCCTCCCGCAACGAGCGCAAACGCGCAATTATTCCCCATCGCCATCCGACGCCGGGATCTCCGATTCCGCGTTCCCTGCCCCGATACAGCGCACATACACCACGCGCGCTCGCGCGGATGCCCCGAAGAGGCTCCCGGTGTTCGATCGTTATGCGCGCCCCCGATATTATCTCCCTCGCTCGCCTGGTAGCTCTCGGATTTTCCGCGCGCGCGTGCCGACGCGTGAAAAACCGAGTTGATTGTGAAACGTGCAAAGAGGCGCGCTTCGCTGAGCGGGCGAACAGCGAAACGCGCGCCCTTCATCGCCATTATTTCTTTTTCTGTAGTAAATTTATCGCGTGCGCGATCATTTTACAATTATAATTAAGATTTTCCGCGCTGATTCGAATTATCCGATTGTAATAAACATGTTCTCTGACAAGTACACGTCCGATCTCTGTTAGATATGGAATTATAATGACACACGCGCGCGCACGCGCGCGCGGAATATTGCGACACGGAATCGTAAAGAATGAACTCCGTTCCCTTATCTTACAAGATGCGGCTGCGCCGTGGTCCGATTTTGCAAGGCGTAATTTCATCTCTTCCCATCACCTTTCTCTTACCGCGTCTTATTCTTCGCGACTATCTCGCGCGTATTTTTGGCGGCGGAGCCATGAGAAGCTGCGGCGTCTTCCCGTGTGTTCGTTACGGAACGCTCCGTATTTGCGTCTTCGCGTCTACGTGTCACGGACGAACGAATGTGTTCGTAATGGGCGTGGTAGTCCAGCATCAGAGGGTCGCAACGCATCGACCGCGCGTTTATTTAAGCGCGCACGAGCCGGGGTCGCGAGCATGACGTGAGACACGCTTCGCCAATAATGGAGTTTGATGAAAGAATTGATTTTCAATCCTTCCTGTTCGCGCGAATACTTTGGCCTTACATCGCAGCAATCACATTGACTAATGTCATCGAACCGAAATATTTCTAACGGTGTTATCGATGATGGGCTATCGGCGTAACGAATCGATCAAGCATCGCAACAGCGCAAGTTTAAAAACTTATTGCATTTCTAGTTGATTTATCGCTATCGTGAAAATTGCAATGTACGATCGTTTGCACATGATGTCGTTTGAACAATCAATATTCGATAAATAATCAAAAATTATCAACTTTGAAGAAATCGAAATCGAATTTGAAAAATTTAAAATTCAAGAAACGTGCAAAGACAACATCCCGCCACCTTGTTATAAAAACGACAAAATGATTTTTGACTCACCATGATCACCGGCCACTTCACAGAACCTCCCTGTAACAAAGAGAAAAACATTGGTGAGCATAAATAATCATGTTTTATCCACAAATTCAGAATATATTAATGTTAAAAAAAAAAACAATAATACGATAGTGCTATCGTAACAACATTTAAAATAAAACCGATATTGCTGGACAAAGCCCGAAAAATCTTTGGATAGCCCACGCGCGATCGAGTATGCGAGGATCAAGATTGTTGTCGAACAAACGTCTTGACGGGTGGTAAAAGTCTACGTTATATCACCGCGGACCCACCTCCAGCTGGGTTGGGCACGATCCACGTTGTTGGACAGCTATGTATATGCATTGTGCATGAGCCGGCATCAATCATCGACGATGTATCGATGCACAGGTGTCGCGCAACACGTCTAATGTCTATGCAAATCTTGTTGCGTCGTCGTCGATGTTAAAAACCGCCATTACTATACTTTATGGCGATATTTGTGACTTGGAACTTTACTGTACGGAGTATTGCTAATATAATACAAGCACGTGACATATGCGAAAATTTATACGTGTATATTCTTTACTAACCCGTTCCTATATAATGCCTCCTCCGCTCAAATTATTCATTCAACCTTACTAACAAACTCTGTTCGACTGTCCGCGAGCGGTACAGCACGATCTCGGTGATGGGCAATCATCGACACGCCGTTACGGCGAGAGACACTTCGGGTCGGCTGTCGATGACGTGACAAAAACGACGCTGGCTAAGCGCGCGCGCGTGTTCTCGAAATTTAAAAGAGTGTCCGACCCCCGCGGCGTTCTACGGACGTCGATCGATCCACCGCACCGCGGTGTCAGTCGTAAGTAATGACAATACGATGACTGGACAGCCGCTAAACACCTGCATTCACCACCTTATCTCGCGGATCCCGCTGTTAGGACGGGTTTTCGCTATCGTTATCCCTCCTACGCGCGGGACGATAATCCGTGCTTCTTGGTCGCTTTGGGTGGTCCCACGATAATCTCGACGCGACTCTTGACGCCTCTCGCGCGTCGTTTCCCATCACCACGAATGATCCGATCGTGACTCTGCTTCCGAGCATCATGCCGACGCGTGGTTTCCGCGTCCCGCGGCTCTCAAGCACGATCGATCGCGTGTCAATCCCGAAACCGTCCGTCCCGTGCGGCGAACAATAGCTGTGAATTCGAGATTTGTTTCTCGTGTACGGATTGCTTTGTAATAAGGCGCCGTTTCGTGACGGTCGCAACGTCCGGCAAGACGAGAAGTAGCAAACGAGCGTGGCTCGGGCAACGAGTGGGACTTGTATACCCGGTGTTGACGTAGCTTCCCGGGGCTCGTTGAATATTTATCGCCGCTCGCCTTGTTTGTACGCCGTTCTGCCTCGCTTGAATTTAAATACCTTTCGTACCTCCGCTCGCGCGTTTCCTCTCGTCTTAGCGAGCAACGATTCTTTCTCGCCTCGCGAGGAAATTATTTATAGAGAGGTGACGGGAGCGCGCGGCATGCTCGTTGCTTCTCTCTGGTAAAACGAAAAGCCGCGGAGGGAGTGCCTCGTGCAAAGCGGAGCACGCGCGTATTCGCAAAGTCATCGCGTCCGTCGACGTGATCTCTTTGCTTCTATGTATAGAAGATGAGCGGTAAAGAGCATTCGCCGTATCCAATGCGCCTTTTCAATCAATCCTTTCCACCTCGCCTTCTAATTTATACACACTCGAATGACGTATCGTTTTTAATGCTGCGCAAAAAAGATTTACACTCTTACCTAATACATTAAATCTAAATAGCTGTTGCGTTTTACTGTTCGCCCACTGTATAACACAGCTCAGCGTATTCCGCGAGTAAACTATGATTATCAAACTCGACCCGATTCTTTCAACTTACCGCATGATTGACATTAATTAACCGGAGCACAATCCGCGTCCTTATCTGATCGCAACTAGATTCTCGACGGCGAGATACGACGCCAAGTTTGCCAGGACGCGTAAAGATAGGACGTCGGGAGACGCTCAAAGGGAAACCCCTCTCCCCGCGGTCACCACCCCGCAAGGCGAGTAGAGTGGCCGGCCGGCCGCGAGAACTCGTCGAAGACGTCGAGAGATTCCGAGAGGGCGAAGCGAGAGGGTACATACACGCAACGGAGAGTTTCTTCTCCCGCGGGAAGGCGTGGTCGGTAGACGCGCGACGTCCATTTGTCTCGGGCGCCTCCCGCACCAGGAACGCCCTCGCATCCCACGGGCATCGATCACGTCTTCCTCTTACCGAGCGCATCGCGCCACACCACGTCGCGTCGCATCGCGCCGCGCCTCTCTCTGTACACTTTACGCGCACATACTCGCCCGCACGTATACCATCGCGCGGCACAAGCCATTCTTCGCCTGCAATGGCACTGCCAACTTGTTCCCAAGTGGAATTCTCGCACAACAGAAACGAAATTATAATATCTAAAAGAAACGTCATAGTGCACTCGAAACAGAAAGAAGCGATTGTTTAAATTCGAAGCTTGCGACGACGGCAAATATGCACAATATCACTCCTATTCGCATATACACACATACGATCGTTGCAGATCTTTGTTTACTCATCGCTGTATTCACGGGAAAAGATAGAGCAAATCTCTATAAATAAATATTAGTTTGAGAGCTATTACTGTACCAAATTCTTCCACCACTCCGTTCACAGGACCGCTTAATGTCGCTTTGTTCTACTCGCGACCGACTGTGCTCGAGCTTTCCCCGCACTTTGTCCGCCAACGTCTCTGCCTTACAACAATCCGGTTTCCTAAACGTAATAAAGTTATCTCGATAATAATACACGCGCCACATCTCGGTAAAGACGTATAGAAAGTTATGGGTTTATACAATGCGATTAAAAAAATTTAATAACGCCACGTTCCGGTCGATTACGACCACGAGATTTCGATCAACCGGAACGACGAGCTATTAAAGAATTCTTTTACATTGCCACGATTTGTAAGAAACGCGAATTTTCGTGAAGAATGTCAAGTACACGACAAGAAAACTAATCGGCATCGCGGAACAATTATGCCATTTTACACGCCAATCGATCTTATATCATTTCTTAAAGAATAGAATCTAAAGTGAGAAGCGATTTCTTTACAAGTGCCGAGGTGCAATTGTTTCTCATGATAACTATAGATTGTCGAATTATCGTGATTTGAAATCATTAGCGTGCAATAAGCTAATTGTCTTTTACGACCGATCGCTCGTAGCTTGTCTGTTTTACTGTTTTGTTGCAGCCGGTAAGTGTACACGATGCTTCCTCCTTCGCCGAGGCAGACAGCCGTCGAACGATGATCGCAGGATGGCTATCTGGTTACGCGCATGGCAACTTCCAAGTAAGCACTACAGTTATCGTTATTCCAGGTATATATTACACGATAAGAAATTCCGGAGAAAAAAAAGCACTTGCTAACGCGTTGCACGGAAATTTCTCGTCTTACGCATGACAGTTATATCTACGGTTTTTAATCGCGCAATTTTTCACGCTATAGGCTGAGATATTGCAATTTCTAATTTCGCAAAATGCAAACATTCGCGCGCATGGAAATCAGGCTGTGAATATTCATGTCGAACGAGACGATACGGTACGCTTCATCCATTAGCAGCCGTCGTCCTCGGTGCATTCAAAGAAAGTACGCACAAATTTCTGTTATCGCAGAATCGCGACGTTTCCGGTTATTTGCTGCAAGGCATGCTATCGTTCTCAAGAGAATCTGTGAAAGCGGAACAATGCTGCTTGATGGTCCGTGAAATCTTCAGGTTTAAGAATATTTACATTTTTTTTTCGAACGATACTAAATGTTGTAAATTAAAAGAATGTTTTCCGACCAAAATCGGAAGTGATTTAAGTTTTCGCTTACTTCGCTATGGACTTAGAATGATCGACACTATCGCAGTCCCTCAACTTTTGGTAAGCGGGCGATGGTAATTAACTGGTGCGTCGTAACGCATGCCTACACGGACAAAATGTATGCGTCGGCGTCTTCTCTTCTCTTTCCTCGTTGCACGCGTGCGAAATGCATATCGGTAACGCGCGGCGAGGTGTTGCATATGCATGCGTCGATCGATATGAATGCATCGTTGCATGCTAAACGGTTGCGAGCCTATCTGATCTGCTATTTTCCTTTCGGCCGCGAAAGGCATCCGCGCGGCTGCGGCGACGGTGCCGATGCGGAAACTCATCGTGTGAATCTCCAATTATCGTCTGGTCCGCCACTTATTAGCCTCTTACCGTACTACAATGTACAGATCATGTTTGTATCAATTTTGATTCCCGCCAAATTCTCAGATCGTGCGATAAATCATACTTTATTAAAAAATCGAGAGCTCCGCAGAACGCATTTTTGCATCGTTGCATCGTTAAATACTTAAATGTTGAAACGATTTTGCTTGAAACGTGAAAGTAATTTTACCTTTGGATTTTTTAATCGCCTCAAATTTTTTCTTTACGAATTTCTGTCATGTTTTCTTGTTTCTCAATTAAGCGAGAGAATTTCAAGCATATATCTGGCGACTCCGGCGCGCTGAAACAATACACGTAGCAACAATGGATCACTCATCAGCAGTAATCCGATTACAAAAGTTGTATGATGAACAATGGACTCGTTGAACGATATCCGTAATAAACCGCAAAAGTCGTCGATGATAGACGTATCGCTGCGATCGATAATTGAGACGCTAGAACGATTCAGCTGCACACACCAGGCTTTTATCCAAAGGGTATCTTGTACAATTATAGAAGGCATGCTACTTTATGGCCGAAGGTATCTGTCCAGAAGATCGATACCTAATTAGGTCGACCCTTATGAGGATACGACTGCCATGTATTTTCGCGTATCGCGTCTAATTATCGCAGAAATTGACCAACATTATTGACACGTATGAAGATCCGCGGTCCGATCGCAAAGGGTCTCGCAGAAACTCGCCTCACATGTTCAACCATTCCGCTAGTCGCTAACAAACCTTTAACGATTAGCCTGCGGGATATTGCTGTGGAATATTGCCTAT